GATGGACTCCGAGTCACTCGACTTGAATCAAGCCGAAAATCGACTAGAATCAAGTCGACGTCGGCTTGAATCAGTACGCTTTTTCTGGTGCACCGGAGAAAAAATAGGCAAAATCCATTGATATCCTTAAAAATCGGACCATTCGTTCACGAGAAATCGTTGACCAAAATTTTGACCACATACGTACAAAGTAACACACACACACACACACACACACACACCCACAGACATTTTGTTAAAAACTATCGAGGAACATTAGAAACACCTTGAAACGTGGAGATACCATGGAAAATCGATTTTTCATTTTCGGGGGCATTACAATAACTTTCCTACCCGGGAAGTTAAATAGTAGATTAAACGAACTCAAATAGTAACGCACGGTATAAATCCAACATTATGAGATAATACAGAAGAGGTCGGAAATAACCAAATATTGCCAACAGTGCGTATCATCACTTAAAATTCAAAATAAAATAAAATTTTCAATGCAATCCAAAAATCCCCGGGAATTACACTAACGTCCCGCATTCTCTCATTTACTCGTCAACGGGTACAATTACGACTTTGGCCATCAGCTGACGGCCAGCATCTCTCCATAAGTCCCCTTCTAACTCGTGTGATACATCAATCCCAACACCGCCCCATCGAGTCACTATACACCTTATCACACCGTAGAATCACGGAAGCCGATCAGATAATTACTTTCACTGAACAAAAGACACGACTTGGAACTGACTCGTGTCTCTCCTTGTTTCTTTTTTACCATTCACTCATTCGGTAGTTATCGGCTTTGCATGAGGCACGATGCAACAGCTGTTTATAATTATGCAATTAGAGGAGTTCAATTGGGGAAGGGGATGGAAGGGGCCGGGGGGATGAGGAAAATCGGGGATCGTTACGGAGTTGTTCGAGTGCGATTGACGCAGGGAGTGAGTCAACCCCTGGCCGTTATGTTTTATAAAAATTATCTCCGCGGACAATTGCAATCTGCAATTGTAATATAACGAATCGCCTCGGGGAACTGATTTTTTTTCCAGTTCATTTCGATCCGAGGAATTAAAAGGTATCGGGGTTTATGTAAACGCTGGATCATCATGATCAGCTGGCGATCCCTGGTTAATTATTCCACGACTCTCGTGAGTCTGATTCAACATTTACCGTAACAATCACTTTTTGCGCCTTTTGTTACGAGAATTGGTTTTGATCGTTGGAAAACGTGAGTGGAAAACTTGGCATCCGGATTCCAGGTGAGGATGGCGGCATTGAGGGAGAACTGCAACACGTGGAGATTTTATTATTATGCGTGATGAGAGGTGTGGAGGATTTCAGGTGGATTGCCGGGGAGAATTAAAGTAGCTCTACCCTTTGGCCGGGCTACACTGATAGAAAGGATTAGTTATTGTTAACGAATGGATTTGGTTCGAGACGAGGGTCTATTCGGTCTCACCTAATGCTCATTCGTTAATAGTTAACAAATGCACATTTGGGAAGCCTTGTTCGACGCGATTTTCACTTTTCAAGTGAACCATTCGTCAACCATTAACGAATATTCATTTAGTCATATTCAACTCTACCATTCGTTAATAGTTAACGAATCTCCTTTGGAATAAATGAGTCAGTCTATGAGTGTACGCTGTACTTTTGGATATTTTCAGATTTGAAATTTTTCAACTAAATTGTATGGAAAAAATTTGAAAAAATTCATACCCAGTCAGTATTATCTAAAGCAAATTTCGCAAAATATTGATATTTTTTCAAACATTTCCCTCTTATAAATAAATAATAAAACTTGATTGCAAAACGGTGGATTATTTTTTATGAAGTGACAAAAAAATTCTTGATTTTTTCACATCTAGTGAAAAAAATTCAGATTTTAATCTTTGATTACAATGGACATGTTGATTTTCACATGACTCTGGGTTAAATCCTGATTTTTAAACATTTCTTCTTTGAAAAACCAAAACGATATTTAAATTGAGAAAAAAATTAGAATTCCGAATCTAATCGAGTTTTCTGCAATTTTTTTTGCAGTTTTCAATTATTTTTGAATTTACCGTAAGGGTAGAGCTACGTTAATTTTTTTTTTTAACCAAGTTTTTTTATTCAATATAATAGTCAATATTTATATTATGTACAAACTTTAAAAGCTAGTATAGAAAAAAGAGTTCTATGATCAGTATTTTTTACTAATTGTGTAAACTTTGGTCTGACGAGACTCTCGAGTTTATAATTATTTTGAAATTAATCGTAAGGTAAATGCAGAATCTTTCTCTTTGAGATTTATGCGTTGTTTTTTGCATTTGATATTTTTTAAATTTAAGTGCTTAAAAAAGGAACATTTGTTTGCTGTTGTAGAAAAAAAAAGCACGACAATATTTGCGAAGAGCTACTTTAATGCGTTGAGATTGATGGGCGGATTTTACGGGGGAGTGGAGTGGTGATTGTTGGGCGATGATTTTTTGACGGGCGAAGGCCCTGTGGGGAAACTGTTGATTATGGTAATGGCTCCGAAAAAAGGCGGGTTTATTTGGTATGGTGGATTGTATGTCGCACTGGTCGCTGAGTGTTTTTGGGCGCACGCCATTATGATGTGTTGGGACATTGTTTTAATGCCAGTGCAGTGTAGCGTGATGTAGGCCCACATGCGGCTTAGAATTGTTTATTGGTCTTGTGATGCAAGAGACTGTTAGATGTATTCTGAAATTTACGCGACAGTTACAGGCGGAGAAATGATAGTTTGAATCGAGTAAAGGTATTTATTCGAATTTTCTTTGCCGGGGAAAGGAGGTTTGATTTTCAGGGACATGTCACTGGTTTTCAGGAGTCTATGGCCAATTGATGCAGCACCGGAAAAATTATTGCGGTATTTTTCCTGCCGCTGATGCTGCACGATAATTTTTTCAAGTGTGCGGATTGCGACTCGTTAAGGGTACTTGGCGCATGAATTTTTAATTGAATTCGATTTTTCGGCCTCGGCGGACATTTTCTTAGTTTTCTTGTTTGATTATTTCAATCAAAAGAGAAAAAAATTGAATGGAAAACACTTAGAAAATTCATCTCGAGGGATTCCTGTTACAAATAATAAAATAGAAAAAGTTCTATAGAAAGATAAAATCCTACTGATTTTTTCTATGAAATAGTTTCTATTGGACATTTTGTTTGACGAGAAAAATGCTATGAAAATGTCCCCCAGTTTTGGTCGATGTTGCGACTTATTTTAAGCTCAATTTAATGAGATATTTGCCAAGAATACATCACCCGATTCGTTCTTAATCATTTCGTGTTCCTTCACTGCAGAAAAATCGTTTTCCTTCAATTTTCGTAATCACCAATTCACGCAATCAGAATAATTATCAACTAATTTCATTCAAATTATATCGCCCCCCTCTCCCCAGCAGAATAAAAATCACTTTGCACTCAATGACTGGTATTACCTCTTGAATTCCTTGTGAAATAAAAATAATAATCGAATAATTGAATTTTAATCACTCTGTGCTCGTTCGTTATCAAAAATCATTCTCCCTTAATTACCGGCATATCTAATCGTCAATTGTTCCAAAGACACTCGTTAGGAGATACTAATGAATCCCCATAATTGACCCTAGACCCTCATCGTTAGGACCATCCGGTCGGTGCGATCGCATCTGGAAAAAAATCAATTTAGGAATTTCCGAATGCACGGAGAACGAATTATGATGAAAATTATTCCTGATTTGAGCAATCATGTAGCGTATTGATTTTTCAGGAATTTTTACCGGAATTCTAGTAGAGAATACTACAGGTCTAGTGAAAAGTCGAATGTTTTAAGGATGTTCAGGTACTTTGGCTATTTTTCCTCCCATGCATTGATTTTCTGTAAAAGTAGAAAATCACAGAAAACATTTTAAACATTTTTAAAAAATAGAAAGTTTACTTTTGTAAGAAGATTGATGAAATAATTTAATTAATAAATGATTTAAAAAGTGCAATTTTTGAAAATTACGAGCATTTTCTGTAAATAATTTATAAACAATCACATTTCCACCATAAAAATTATCTGTTCGGAATCGTAAGAAATTTATTCATATTCGGAATTTTACCGGAAATTGTTTTTTTTCCGAAATTTTTAACAGTTTCAGTTATTTATCTATAAATAGCGAATATTTAAAAAAATGCTATGCAAAATGTAAAAGATACTTGAATATCCTTAAGTGAAAATTTCACAAAAATGTGTAGTTTTTACTAGAAATCTAACTTCTTGTAGATTTCGGCTTGAATCAGAAAAGTCCTGTGAAAAGTTGAAATTCAGTTAATTTTGGTTCTAAATTTCCATATTCATTTTACCATTCACTCACAGAAAAACAAAAGTTTTGATTTTCAGGGACTTATCCCTGATTTTTATGAATTTATCCTCAATTATAAGGGATTCTCAATTGTGGAATCGAGAGACACACCTAATTATCAAAATTCTTCCACAAAATACATAAAAATGATTTTCTTAAAATAAGAAAACTGTTTATTTGCACTAAATAAATTATTTATTCGATTAAAAAAAATCCTTCATTTGAAATAGATAAATTGCTGTTTCCAATTCAATAAAAATTTTACTTAGAATAAATAAATTGTTTAATATGAGTAAATCCTTTTCTCGGAACAAATAACCAAGTTTATTCATTCGTAATAAAAATATTCTTGCAAAAGTAAAAAACGTCAAATAAACATTTTTATTTGACTAGAATAAAAACATTGTTCTGGGTGAAGTAATCATCGTCACAGTGAAAAAGCCTCGTCAAGACCAACTAAATCGTTCCACCTTTTCAACGAGTGTCTCCTCTCCCGCCGTCTCGTCAAGGTAACCCCGGGCCCTCACGTCACCTTGACCGTCGTTTTCCAACATCTCCCACATTCCCGCGAGACACATCTGTCCGAGAAAGAGGGGGTGGACACGAGTCCTTGTCGGCCTCCACCATCCCGATATATAAGTGCCGCCGCTGGAATCCCCACCTCATCAATCGAACAAGCCTCCTCGCATGGCAAACAACGCGGAAAATATATCATTCAAATTGGAATCTAAAAATTTCACCTGACAATCTCCCAATAATCGCCCCAAAGAGTCGCCGAAATCGATCGGCTGGGAAAAATAGGAAATTGCGGGAAAGGGGAAACAGCAGTACTTTTGATTTCAAAACCTCCCACTTTCCTCCACATATTCTCTTTCTCCGTCAACCCCTCCCGTATACCTCTTGTACAACCGTTGTTACTAGTCCAGTGACGCTCGTCCGCTCTTTCTTTACCCGGACTGGTAATACCAGAACAGAACAGTTAACGAGCGAGACTATACAGCAACCGAGGTTTTCCCTCTTTTAGTTACTCAGTTTATTTTTACTCATCTGTTCGCGGATACACATCAGCTAGCGCCATGAGACTCGTAAGTAAAGTGACAATTTTTCGTTCATAACAAATGATTTTTTTTCTAAAGTTTGGTTGCAAGTGATGATTATTTTGATCGCGAGTTCAGTGACAACTTTCAGTGGATAATCAATGTAAATGTTAATGGGAGTCCTAGTTTCCTTGGGACCTGGGCAATTTCGTTGGATTGAGAAGACTGTTCTTCATTCTGTATGAAAGAATTCTTGTTGTTAGTGGTGTCATTGAAAATGCAGGGAGAGAAAAAGTTATTCATGCTCATTAATTTTTTTTAGACTTGTTGAATGCAGATTGTGTGTGGAAATTTCGCGGATTTTTGGGCGCAAGTGCATTTGTTTGACGTAAATAAATTCCCGAAAGTGGAAAAGTGGTTCGCCAGGGCATGATCAAGCAAAAATAATTAGCGAAACAGGTTCTGTTTTCTAACATCCCTTGATATCGCAGATGAATTCATTCTTTCTTCAGTGTCGTTGCAAATAAAATTAGAGGGAAAACAATCTGTCATGTTCCATTAGTTTGCAAGACATTCCAAACTTTTATTTTGACAAATAAATTGAAGTGAATTCATTCTTTCTTCAATGACATTGTGACTAAAATACGAACGAAAACCACCCGTCGCGCCCTAATAGTCTGCAAGACATTCCAAACATTAATTTCATCAAATAAATTCTGTTTTTTCAATATCCCTTAAAATCACAGATGAATTAATTCTTTCTTCAATGACATTGTGAATACAATACGAACGAAATCCACCCGTTGCGCCCCAATAGTCTGCAAGACATTCCAAACATTAATTTCATCAAATAAATTTTGTTTTTTCAACATCCCTTAAAATCACAGGTGAATTAATTCTTTCTTCAGTGATATTGCGAATAAAATTAGAAGGAAAACCATCCGTCGTGCCCCTATAATTTGCAAGACATTCCAAACATTCATTTTATCAAATAAATTTTGTTTTTTCAACATCTCTTAAAATCACAGATGAATAAATTCTTCCCTTAATGACATTATGAATAAAATTAGAAGGAAAACCATCCGTCGTACCCCATTAGATCGCAAGACATTCCAAACATTGATTTTATCAAATAAACTCTATTATTTTTATCTGTTAAATTGTTGAGCAGAACAGATCGTTTTTCTTTTCCACTTGTAGTTGGAATGCCGCTGTCTTTTCAATAACATTCCAAGTCGATTAAATGAACAACAAGCATTTTCATGTCGATGAGTGAAAAATGTTCTCAATTAATGTTCGTCGATTAATTGAATAAAAAAATAAGTTGTTCAACGGTATTTTAAGATTTGAGAGTTGTTGTGCATGATGTTGAGGTGTTTTGGACTGAGCTATTATTGTTCGTCGGTTAACGTGATATTGATGCGCTGAAGGCTTTAATGAGCTCGCGGTTTGCGTGCGCAAGTGAAAATAAATCGAAAGTAAAAATGAATAAAAAAGTCGTTTATTTAATTGTGTCTTAAGTTGGGGTAATTGAGTGGGTTGGATTAATTAGGGGAGAGCGGGGTGGGACGGGTGATTTTGCGTTTGATATCTCGGGTGGTGTGAGCTGGTATGATATAATGCAATGGGTGTGTGACACCTCGAGGATTCGAGATGGAAATTTGAGACCGTGCAGAGGTTTTTTGATTAACGGAAGGTAATGATGATCTTGGCAATGAAGCGATGCGGAAGAAATTCTGGAATGTGATACAGATGATTCTACTCGTATTGCAGAACTTGTGGGTTTACGTCAATTCATCACGAAACCTGTTTTACAAGAAACGATCTTCCGACATTTTTAGAGGAATCTAGTTTCCGGAATAATTGCGGATTGATGTGAACTACATTTCGAGAATGTTAACGATGAGTATCAAAATATGGCGCAGGCTATTTCAGTAGCGCAGTGATGAAACGGTTCAGTTTTTAATTAATATCTCGGAATTGAAGGTACATGGCAAAATTTTTGTTATTACCTTTTTTGTAGAGCCGATTGAGAGCTGCAATAAATGTAATTATGAAAATTTCGCTATCTTCGTTAGATCCGAAAATATTGCGCTAATTATTATTTTAGTGCTAATTATTATTTTTTAGCGATTCCCTCAGGGAATAAATTAGAAGAATCCCAGTCTGGACTCTCCATTTATTCAGTAAAAAATTTTCTGATGGTTATTCATATTGACTACCATTCGTGTAGTAAAATTTGTCGCGATTTTCGAGGCAATTTTTATCCAACTTCTCTCTCCGTGTGACTTTGCCCGCGGCACGGACGCCCACTCGCGTGATCCCCTCAGACTGACACCTGGTCCATATCTATTTGTCCCCCTAGATGATCATAATGACGCTTCAGGACGTCATCCTTACCTCATTTACATGTTCCAACCGATTACTCATGCAGAATGAGATTTACACGGCTGTAAATAACCCGAAGAAATAAATCCCATAAATAATCACGCATGAAAAAATTCAATAGAAAACCTAGCGAATTCGCTAGGAAATTCTGTTGGAATTCTATAGGAATTCTATGGTTTTTCTATAGGATTTCTATTGGAATTCTATTGAAAAAGTCTATTTGTTTTTTGCGCTGATTCTATTGGATATTCAATGAGAAAAAGTCAATAGATTTCGAATTTCTATTAGAATTCAGTAGCGAAGTGGTAAAGCGATTTAAGTCGATTTTGACAATTGGCCAGTTTTTAGTGAATATCTCGGAATCTCAGGGAGATAGCTAAATTTGTGTTTAGACCTTTCTTGTAGCACTCAATTTGCTCTAGAAAAAAAGTTATTACGAAAATTTCATTATCTCCTCTAGATTGGGAGATATTCTTCAAAAACTCAAGTAAGAGATAAGTCGACTTGAACCGTTTTACCACTTCGCTACTGAATTTTTATCTTAAATTTTTTCTGTTGGAATTATTGGGCACAAATTTTCCAAGTTTTTTCCGCTGGATTTTGTTTCGTTTTGCATAGTAGAATCCGAGTAGAAAAAACTTAGGAAACTGATGCCCATTTAAACAGAAATTCCAAATCTATTGACTTTTTCTGAATGTCCAATAGAATCAGCGCAAAAAATAAATAGAATTTTTTAATAGAATTCCAATAGAAATTCTATAGAAACCCCATAGAATTCCTGCAGAATTCCAATAGAATTTTCTTGCGAATTTGCTAGATTTTCTATTGAAGTTTTTCATCCGTGACATGTTTCGTTGCATTAGTCTATCAATTACAGAATATTGAGATTCGATCGTTTAAATATCGGCCGGATCATTTTTATTCATCACCGGGCCAATGGTTATGATTAAACCGACTGGTTATGGTAAAATTGGCTAGTGCTATTGCAACAGGGGTGTCCAGCACGCGCCTTGGAGGAAAAAGGATCGGTCGGAATGGGGTCAGGGGTGGTGGCCCAATTAACATTAACAATTATATAGAACTCACACTCACTCATACTGTCATTTGCATACAGAGTTGTAGGGAAGGTATTACGAGATGAGTGAAAAAAAAATTGTGAACGATATGATTTTTCGTTCAAGGACGTTTCGTCCCTTTTACAAATAAACAGTGAACTTTTTTTTACACTAGGATTTTGCAATGGTATTCGTATAGCCGTATATCAGTGGCGTTTGGAATAATTACTTGGGAAACAGTTTGTTTTTGTTGGAGATTTGTTTTATTCTCGTGGTGCTGGAGGAAATGATTTGGATTTTTCGCGATATCTGGAAGAAAATGACTAGAGAGTTTTGGGGGGATTTAATTTTTTACAAAGAATTTATTCTATTTTTTTTACAAGTCCGGTTGCTGAGGAAGACGGTTACTAATTAATGAGAGAATCATTGAATGAGATTGTTGGTGTGACTTTTTTATTATTTAAAATATAAAATATTCAAAATGTTTTTCTTTTCAACTTTTGGTCTGTACAAAACATTTTTTGGAATATTGTTTCACAAATCTTGAAGTGACGAAGATATTCACGGAATAATGAGGAAATTAATTCAAGTGTTTTTTTTATTACTTCATAAATATCTTCAAGAGGAGTAGTTTCAGGTGAAAAAGGCAATAAACATTCTCTCTCAAAAATTTAATTTCCTACAAAAGATGTTTTTTGACATTTCCTTCGAAACCTATTAGTTTCATAGATATTTTCGAAATGCGTAACAAAATTTTCGTCGCACTTTTTTAGTTTTTCATCAGTATCTCAGAAACCATTGGGTTTAGATGAAAATATCAAAAAATATTTTTTGTGATGAATTAAATTTCACACAAAAAATGTTTTCTCCAATTTTCTTCTAAACCCAGTTGTTTTCGCGATATTCACGGAATAATCTCTCCTCATTTAAAAAAATTTACTGCTACTCAATTTTCATTTAATTATCACACTCGTGTGAGTCTCGAGGACCTTGGCCAAATTCTTCGGTGAATGAAGACAACTGTCACGCAAAAAAGAAAGCACGCATATCCCACACGAAACCACCTGAAATCATAACAACTCAACTTCCTTGAACCTCCGACGTCATTTTACTTGAATTATCATCATTAAGTCACGCACATACCGCATCAGAGGCCAGCGATTGTTTTCCTTCGACTCTCCCGTGCACCGGTACACCATAAATTAATACAGATACCGAGAATTCCCAGTTCCTTTTACGAAGGAAGTTCAAAAAAGTTTCGTTCGTAGATAGAAAAATACTGAAAGAGGGCGGAATTTATTCTGAAAGTCGCAAATGTATTTTAACATCTCGTTAAGGATCTGAAGCGTTTCCTCCGCGTGATCCTTTCCATCGTCATGATTTCACCGCGTTATATACACGTACCGCAGACTCCGGGCGTTTTATACACTCGAGACTGCCGAACCGTGGCATTCCAACTAATAAATGATAATATTCAAATTTATGTTTATCATTTTTGTTATAAATTCCATAAAAGTGGTCGTGCGGCTGTCGAGGGAGATGTCAAGAGCTCACCCGGTTTTTCATTGAGGAAATTTTCGTGTGCAAACATGAAAATGAAAATTA